GATCAAGTTTGTCGTTGCTGTGAACGACGGTACGCTGTTATATCACGTCGGTATTTATCATAGGCACTCTCTCTAGGCTCGACTGGTAGTGGAGGAGTCTTAGGCTCAGGTAAATCAGTTTTAAAGCCTTCACCGATCCATTTGGATACTTGTTTGCATTTGGCCTTTAGCAATTCAATCCCTTCCAGAGGTGAAAGTTCCTCTACCATCCACTTATCTTCCTCTTCGCAGTCCATCTCATAATTCAATTGGTACTTTATCAATTCTTGGACAACATGCGGTTGCTCGTCCACATTTAAATGCAAGCTAAATACGCAGAATTAATGAACTTTTTGCTCAGAAAGGCTATGAAAAATATTGCAAGAAAAGATACAAACCGTTCTCATGCAAATTTGTTTTACATTTGTGCTAATGACAAAAATATTATTTAAAAGTATTTTAGTTTTTTAGTTTTCTTTGTTGATCTCTCTTTGACCTTGGCGTAGACAAAAGCTTGGTGGACATAAATAGCCATGTTCCGTTGAGCCCAAAATATTTAAAGAAACGAAATGCTTGCATTAAAACAATCTAGCTTAATAATGCACAAGCATATCGTACTAGTATGTCTTGGAAAAGATATCCACTATCCTAGCGATTGTGCACGCTTCTAATCTCCGAAAGCCCCATCGAACGGCAAGTCGAAGAAATTGAATTGTATTCGCTTCACAAGGGGGTCTGCTTGTATTACATAGCTAAATTATTTTTCGAATCTGGCAATTTTTATACAAAAGTAATTTAAATTTTTTAAAACTGGTTCATTGATTGCAAAAGTTATATAGTAGAGCAAAAGTTTGAAAATAAAATAATGCTTTAAAAATTTTGAAATTAATTTATTTGATCATTTTCAATGTCAATTTGAATGTCTGCTTCAACAGAGAGGAAGAGTGATAAAAACATGATCAGATAATTAATTCAATTAAAATTAACTTTACATTTTGAAATTTATGACAATAACTTTCATCATACGTTTGCAGCAGTTCTTTATACATTAAAGGCTTCAGTAGATTTAAGCAAGAAAGAAATTCTCGGAAATCGTTGAAATCACGGGATTGGAAATCTCCACCGGAATACTTTACCTCACAAATTCCACTGAACGCAAATATTAAGACCTGTAAGACAGCTTATCGACTGCCATAGAATGTATTAAATGCTTGTAATATTTTTTGAACTAGAAATTAGATAATGCAACTCTTCACATTTTCAGATAATACAATTTATAAAATGTGTAACTTCTAGTTCAAAAATAACAGAGCACTTTTTTGCCTCTATATTTACAAAAATCAAGTTTCAAGCATTGCTTTTTATTTTTTATCCCTTCATTATTCTGCTAACGCTGTATAATATTTCAAGAAAATAAGTCAAGCATAGATTTGAAACAGATTACTTACTTGATCGACTATTCTTGATTTGTAGTCTAAACATGCTGAACTCCTTTCCGGATTAGTATCCATGTATTGATGAAAATATGAGCATGATACATACAGGCAGTATCGATCATACAATAGAGTGGAATCTTGACAAGTTATTTTAAATAGCCTACAATCATTTATAAATGAATTTGATATTTAATGAAGACAGACTATTTTATAAAAATAGTCTGTCGAGGTTGGAGTCTGATATTACAAAAAACATAAG